CCTTTCACCAGCCCTCCATCTAATAAATTATATATGAAGCTTCCATGGCTTCTGTGATTTCAAACACATCAGCTGATGGTAGTTCCTTATGTTGGGATCAGTGTCTCAGAAGTTTAGTCGCAATATTGATCTGTCAAAGGTGATGCATCCTGTAGAATTGCTGTGTAGATAGGCTTTTCTTGGCCCGAGGGCCACAGGCCAGAGTGACGGAACAGATGTCGCGGGCTTTTGACGTCTCCGATTACCTGAAAAAATAGGGTGGGTCTGCGGGGTCTGATGGCTGTCCAGTGAGGTGCCCAACTTCAGCTATTCAGAGCCTAGCCTCTGTTTTGACCTTTCTACTGGAACGGATGTTGCGGGCTTTTGGCGTCTTCGATTAACTGAGAAAATAGTATGGGTCTGCGGGGTCTGATGGCTGTCCTGTGAGGTACCCAACTTCAGCTATTCAGAGCCTAGCCTCTGTTTTGAACTTTCTGACAGAAGGGATGTTGAGGCTTTTGTCGTCTCCGATTACCTGAGAATATAGGGTGGGTCTGTGAGGTCCGATGGCTGTCCTGTGAGGTGCCCAACTTAAGCTATTCAGAGCCTAGCCTCTGTTTTGACCTTTCTGCCGGAACGGATGTCGCCGGCTTTTGACATCTCCGATTACCTGAGAAAATAAGGTGGGTCTGCGGGGTCTGATGGCTGTCCTGTGAGGTGCCCAACTCCTCACATATATAACAACATACCAACATATATAACAACATATCCACATAACACAACATACTCACATATATAAAAACATACTCACATATATATCAATATACCCACATATATAACAACATATCCACATAACACAACATACTCACATATATAACAACATACTCACATATAAAAAACATACTAAAATATATAAAAACAAACCCACATTACTACTTATCCACATATAACAAGATACTCACCTATATAACAACATACTCATATATATCAAAACCTACCCACATATATAACAACATAGTCACATATAAAGAACATATCCACATGTAAAAACATACTCACAAATATAACAACATACTCACATATATAACAACATACACATATCACAACATACCCACATATACAACAATATATCCACATGTAA